TATCACGACAAGCCATCCTACTTATCTAAAACCCGGCCTAAAAATTTCACATATCCCCAATTACTTTTCCTATACATGAAGGTTCTTAGGATGTATTAGGCTGTTGAAATAGCGGCACTAAGCTTTTGGATATGAACGGTGTACCAACAACTGGTGAGCGACGATATCATTACCTTGTGTAAACATATTCTGTTGTCATTGTAGGAGGAAGAGCGGAAGAAGCGCGAGGAACTAGAGAGGATCATGGAGGAAAACAACAGAAAAATTGAAGAAGCACAGAAGAAACTTGTGAGTTACAGATAGATTATAACAAGACAAAGTAAAGATAGGTATACTTGTCTTGTATTATCTATTTTTCTTACTCTACAAATTTAGGCTGAGGAGAGATTGGCAATGGTTGAAGAACAACGTCTTATGGAAGAAGAAAGGCAGAGAATGAGAAAAGAACATGAAAAACGTGTTAAGGAGGAGCAGAAAAAGATCCTAGGCAAGAACAACTCGAGGCCTAAATTGTCGTTTACGCTAAAACCAGTTACGTGAGTTTGTATTATACCGTGCAGATATATATGTGATATTCACATATTCTTGTCGGTTTTGAAATTAGTTCATAACCAACAAGAATACTCGTTTGCTGCGCATATAAAAATATTTCAGTCAATGCAGCAACAAATGCCCAAAGCTTATGTGAATTTATTCACTGTGATTGTTGAAATCTCCGAAGCATTGAAATGTCATTTGATTATGACTTTAATTGGTATGTCAAAATCTAATGATAGATTTCATGCTTGAAAGGTTTCATTACGATCATAACTGGGACTTAACTTTTTTTCAAGCTACACTTACATCAAAATTCATTCAATTTTATGTAAACGAAATTCCTTTATTCTACAATATTATTGTGTGTGATATAATAAATTGCTTACAGACGTATCGACGGCTGTTCAGCAAGTTAGTTAATTCTATATTTTTGGTGTAAGTGCGGTTTAAATATATGTGTTCCCAATTCACAAATACAATTTTAAATAGTATGGATTTTCTCTTATTGTATTATAACAGGAAATAAAATGATTTTATTTCAGTTAGAATATATTACGAATATTATGCTAGGGTATATTTGTACTTTCTATAGAAGCAGAAGATTTATCTCACACAGTAAATATAACAATATGGAACTACAAACTGATTAAAGCTATTCCGTTATTAAGTTGAATGTTATTTATCGGTTGTATGACACAACAATATGCACACAGATTTCCTTAATATTTGCAATACGCGTTATTTGATAATCCTCGTTATAATCGAAAATTTTGATAAAAGACATCTGTTATTGTGTTTCCAAAATTTTACATTATTTTAATCAAAAAAACAAAAAAAGACAACAGGGGAAAAAAAAAGAAACGAAAGAAAAAGAACAAGCCGGGAAAGTGATGAATAGATGATCTAAGATTGATAGTGGATGATTTTGTACGTATCGAAATATAAGTGCAGACGTGAGAAGAATGTCCTCTACTTAATCGTGTATAAATATGTATTTAAAAGAAGAAAGAAAAAAAAATCTGTTCATACAGAATTGTATACTCGTGATATTGTTACTTGTAAAATAAATACGTTTTTATTAGTCGCTCTTTTGTTCGTTCAATCGAGTTAGTTTTCGTTTTTAGAATATATTAATTGTAATTATAACGATCTAGTCGATGTAATTCTGTATCTTTTGTTTTGTATTATATATATTTTTTTGTGTATATATATATATATACACATATGTATATATATATATATATAAAAGAATTTGTAAAAGATTAATTCAGAGATATTGCCAATTCATATGTTGTACAATTTTGGATTTTGTTAGCATAGCTTTACCCAAAGCAGTTAGACATAATCCAGTGTTAGGCTGTATTTCAGTGATCACTTGTTTATACGCTAACACAAAATCTCCTGTATCTGCGTCTGGATCGAATGGATAATCCATTATGACTAAAGTAGAGAAAAAAAAAAAAGAAAAAGAAAAGAAAACATTTTTATAAAACTAATTTATTGGATAAAATATATTAAATAAAATAAATAATAATAATACCTTTTATAAGACTCTCCAATACATTAGGATATAATCTTTGAGTGATTCTAGTTCCAGGTGGATGCATACGAGGATTCGTATTTATCTCTATCAGCCAAACCGATAGATCATCCATTATTACAAAATCTGCTCCATACAATTCAAAACTGCATCTTCTTTTATCCATGTGTTCTTGCGCTGCCAACATAGTAGCGATTATAGCTTGACACATTTTTGGATAAATTTTTTCGTACCATGGTTCTCCCGTATACCCTATTGTTCTGTATACAAAATTAAATCGTTGCAATTAGTTCATTTTTTTTTCTTCTTTTTTCTTTTTTTTTTTCCGTAAAGCATTGTCGATGCTAATTTATATTTACTGACTTTAAATATTCATTAAGTTTTTCGCAATCCCAATCTTGCGAACGAATAGAAGTCTTAGGAATAATATACTTGTTCTGGACCGCAGTGTTACAAATGTGTATAGCTTCGTGATAGCTATCAAAAGAGAACGGCCTTGAGCTAAAACGTAAAAACGATTCTCTGATACACAGTAATATTTATTGTTCATAGTACCATGATGTAAAGTGATAATAATTTTACTCATAAACAAACTTTGTACTTGTAAATCCATATAGTTAGCGGATAACTGTTAGTAACGAGATACCATTGTCTAACATCGAACTTCGTGTCCTTAACGAGTAATGGTTTTTCTACAAAATCAAATTTCTCACGTATGCTTTTCCACTGATTTTAACGTTTATCAAAAAGATTCGCAATAGACATTTTGATTACCTATGTACTTTTGTACAATAAAATAATCTTTTGCACAATCCTGTACTCTTTTAATTATGTAACTTAATTTATGTGCCATCGCAATACCAACTCCGCAGCAATAATTACTTGGTTTTAAGATCCAAATATTTCGCATTCCATTTAATTCGTATTGAGGATCGTTTTCCTTAACTTTCTTTAAAATTTCCACCGCCGAATCGTATAATATCTAAACGTTTTAAAAAATATATTGCCTTAATATTAATCTATGGTAAATATTATAGCATAGATCATTTTTTTTTTTTTTTTTTTTTTTTTTTTTTAACGCACAGATAAAGAACGTTCGTCGTTGAACTCTTCATTTATAATTCCATTGCCACGATGAACTACCATAACATAATCGTCGATAAATTTATCCCACTCTGTCGAAGAAATAGGAACTTCCGGTATATCCAAATACTCATCGTTTTTCATGGCAATAAAATTCTCACAACGTTTTATCGCAAATTCGATTTGTTTCGATGAAATTGGTGACGAGCCTTTATTAGATATATTGACACCTTGCTCGATTTGATCGGTGAACCATTTTAAAAGGCTCACCGCTGCAGTTTGTCGATAATCATCGATAAATGCACCTTTGTCACGGGCAACGTTGTAACTTCTTGGATAATTTACAGTGGAAACATTATCCTCGGTATGCCAATGAACATTTCCCAAAATTATTGCCATTCCGAGCTGTGAAAAGAAAAACAAAGAAAAAAAAAAGTAAGTAAAAGGAAATAGGATTAATCTTTTTAATTTTTCGATTAAAAATTGTTTTCTTTGTTCACAAACGAATTTTTCATATTTTCATTGATTTTTACCTTCGACGTATATATAAATGATTTGTCATATCTATTCAACAATGTATCAGGTTTGATATGACCTGTCCATTCTACAAAATCATTACGACAATCCCAGATAAAATCTGGTGGTACATGTTTCAATACAGTGAAAATAATATAATCCTCGTTCAAGGATCCATCTGGAAGATGAATATTACCAATCGATGGTGAATCCATAATAGCTGCATTACCTAAAAATCAATTATACTATATCATTGGTATAATTAAAAAAAAAAAAAAAGATAAATACCATAAGGCACGTGTCTCGTTTTTCTAGATTCGTATTTCTTTATCCAACCTCTTTTCTTTAATGTATTTTCCAAATATGGAATATCGCCACGTATTAGAAAGATCTTTTTGTTCTAAGACCAAATGAAATTTTTGTTGTACAATAAATTTTTCTTATGATTTGATATATATATATATATATATATATATATATATATATATATATTTGTAATTTTTGTCTTTACCTTAACAGCTTCTTCCACTCTTCGTTGAATTGCAAAGTAGTTATCCTTGTTATTATGATGTATTCTTAGATCATCCAGGGATATTTCATTCACTTCAATCGTTTTAGATTCAATCGATTTATTATCTACTTCTGTTTCATCGGATGTATTCGCTCTAATAATAATAGAATCTTCCTGTAAAGGAACGTCCTTTGATGGTACGAAACAATTCACTATTTCTTCGTTACAATCCGACGTATCTTTGCTTGTAATTATTTGATAATTATTTCTCGTCGTTTTCGAAAGAATCGAATGTTTCTCGATTTTTTTTTCTTCGTTCTATAATAGAATACATTTACAAAATGATATTAAAGATCTCTGTGTCAAATTAATATTTTGATTTAATTTAACAATATGCATTTATACATAGTCACATACTTACATTGTGATTGAAATTTAACAAAGTTCTAGTCGGTGGTGGCTTTCGTACTTTGTCCATATTTTTTGTTAAAATAGTTGCCGGTGGAACAAAACTTGATGGTCTGATAACAGATTTTAAAACTTGTTGGTCAAATTGTTTTCTTTGTTGTTTCATTTGCAAAAGTTTGGCCTTATAAAATCCTTGCGATAGGAAATCAGTTTTTGGTGATACAGTGGATTTCTTAGATTCGTTCCGTTTGTTGCTTGTACCAGGCTCGCTGACTGGATCGATATTTCGTCAGCTTTACCGATTATGAATCAACGTGTAATAATTGATAAAGAACGTATTTAAAAAGAGAATCGTCGCGAAACAATACGGTATCTTACCTGAGGATAATCTTTTCGTTGACTGTTGAGAATTTATTTTATTTGCTATAGTACCAGTTTGTCCGCGAAGAATAGCATCGTGTCTTAATCCTGAATGCAAACGATCCTGATTGTTACAATGAGAATCCTGTTCCATATTCGTGAACATGAGTGCGACAAAAAATGTAAAATTCAATTTGGAAATGATATTTTTGTTGATAATAATAGATTCGATTGATTTATAATTAATAGTTTAATTTAGAGATATGCATAGATCGAAAAGGAGGTTATATAAGATTTGTTAAAATCATTTGATAGCATCGAAAGCACGATATTCGATTGCTTCGTATTTTTTTGTTTTATCATGAATTTCAGATCGATGTTATTTTATAGACTTCGTGAGATATCGAGATTAGATCTTTTTTCCTCGTATACTAAGACTTGTTCCTTGACCTAAAACGTTGACCCCATAAAATGCATGACGTTGTTTGAAAATGCATTCGAATTTACCATGTAACATTTTTCGACTCTTTCGACGATCTATAATAACTTTAGAAACATATTAGATTATGAATATTTTTATAATTACACCAATCGAATTATTATTCTTAATTTTTATACTTTTTATGGTGTCTTCGATAACTTCTGGATAAAGTTTTGCGGTAACACTACTGCTAGGTGGATGCAATCGAGGATTCGTATTGATTTCGATTAGCCAAACAGAAAAATCGTCCATTATTACAAAATCTGCACCATATAATTGAAAACTATTCTTTCGATTCACCATGTAATCCTGAGATGCTAACAGCGCACCTACCAAATTCTGTTTGATACTTGGTCTGATAATTTTTTCCCATGCTGCCTCTTCGTTTTTCGATCTAATCAAAAAAGTATAATTGTCATATTAAAACATCGATCTTTAAATAATAATTTAGAAAAATTATTTACCTGAGATAGTCTTTAAAATTTTGAAGATTCCAATGAAATTCATTTGGTAATTGTAAATTCGTTCTAGGCAATTTTCTATATTTCAATTGTACAGTTGTATTACATAAGTGAATAGACTCGTGGAAATCGTCAAGCGTGAAATTTTTTGATGCAAAGCGTATTAGAATATCTCTAACATAAAAAATATTATTTTAATTTAACAAGATTAATAATGAAATAATAAGGACATGGAAAGAATGAAAATTAATATAAAATTCTTACTTATACATCCATACAATGAGAGGTTGCGTACTAGTTATTAAAAACCACTGTCTAACATCTATCTTTGTCTTGTGAACGAGTAAGGGTCGTTCTAAAAATATTTTTCGAATTTTTATGAAAAATTTCATTATAGAAATATTTGATTTTTTAGGAACAAAAAAAAAAAGAAAAGAAAAAGAAGACGGAAAAGAAGAAAACTTGCCAATATATTTCTGGACAACATATTGCATTCCCTCCTTCGCAGCTTGGTTTACTTTATGTAATATATCATTCAAAGAATTTTTAAGAACAATACCTCTTCCTAAACTCTTATCACCAGGCTTTAAAATCCAAATATTTCGCATACCATCTACACGACTTTGTGGACGACACCTTGACATCCCTTTTAAAATGTTGTCAGTTAACGTTAACAGTACCTAAAAATATTTTTCATTTTAAATAAACTTTTTAAATTGAACATTTAATAAATATAAAAAAAAGAAAGAACTATCTCAAGATCATGTAACTTAATGAACATACGTTTATATCAACCTTGTCATTTGTCTTTAAAATGGCATGATGATTTATAATATTTCCGTACCAATGTAAAAATTGATTCCAAGCAGTTGCAGGAGCATCTTTGTAATCATCTCTATCTATGTCTTCGTGTATTCTTACACTTAAAAAAAAAAAAAGAAGAGAAAAGAGAAAACTATCGACTTATGGATTCGTAAAATTAACTCTTAATTAATTTTAAATTATATACCTTAAATATTCCACGCAACGTTCGAGAGCAAATAAAATTGCATTTATAGGAATCGTACCATCCGGGGACCATGCAGAGTTAGGTCCTGCTATACTTGTTAAAAATAAAAACCATTTCAATATTCCAGTGCATGCAGTGATATAAAAATCGCGTTTGAATTCTTCGATTTGTATGCTCTATCAAAATAAATACCCACATTCCCACCCGCATTTCGTATTATTTAATTGTAACAATGTATTTGATTATTTTGATAAAAATTATTAAATACCTGATAAAAATTATAACATCGAGGAAATTGAATATTAGATACACCAGCTTCGTAAAACCAAGAAACATTTTCTAAATTATTACACATATCGATCTAAAAGATAAATTAATCTTTTTTTTTTGTTTATGATCATTGTACGAGATTAAACAAATAATAATTATTATTTCGTACTTTCGATGTGAAATAACATCCTGCAAATTTGTTTATTAATGTTTTTTCATCCATTCGTATTGCGAATGCCTTCTTATTGGTATACCATATAAAGTTAGCAGGTTGCCGTAATAACTTCTCTACTTGTTCTAATCCGACTAGGAAAAAAATAAAAAAAATATTAGTTCTATCTTATATTAGAAAATTATATTAAAAGATAATCAAATTTTACCTTCGTTCGTTACGCATGCCAACGAAATCATTTTTCTAATAGCTTTTTTTTCAATCCAACCACGTTTATTCAAAGGCTTCCTTATTACAGGAAATATTCCAGAAATCACGAAAATCTTCCGTTCGTTCGATGCTTTCGTTAGAATCTTTAATATGAAATTAATTCTTGCATTAGAGGTTGTCAATAGTTTCAAACATTCTGTTAACAATATACTGCCATGATCGGATTCATTTTCTTTATTTTCTTCTTCCAAAAGATCATCGATATTGTCACGATTACAACATATAGCAGCACTTTTTTTTTCCTCTACTATAATCTTCACATCTTCCTGATTTTCATTCATATTTTTTGGACAAATCTAATTACGATCGAATTAGTAATAAAATGATATAATGTGTACATACATATATCTATTTATTAGGTATAATATAAATTGTATGTATATATTGTTTATACTATAAATTATCTCATCAAATATACCTGCCAACCTTGATTATGTTTTTTGATCATACAATTTTTTGAAATTAAAGATATTTGCCACTTAGGATCAATATTTTTTATATTATCATAATCATTATTCTTCGAATTTTCGATCCAACCAATTTTCTCCGAGGATACCACATTGTTTCCTCGAGGGAATATATATTCCGTTTGTTCCCATTGCATATTGCATTTTTATAATATTTTGCAACGATAAATATTTTTTACTACAAATTTATAAATACACGTCCACAAAATGTTAACCTATTGATTATAACATTGCTTTCAATTTTACATAATATACTAATGTATAACACGAATCAAGCTACGATCGACAAAGTGATCGATAAATAATCGACTCCTTTTTTCGATGATACTCGCATTTTCGAAAAAATACTATCATTTCATTCAATCGATAAATATAAACATATCGCTTAACAAATATAAACATATCACTTAAACACATTTTCGTATCATTGCATATGTATAATTTATTGGATATGTAATTTTAACAAAATATGATTTTAATATTTCAATAAATTTTCTATCTTAAATCAGCATGTAAGGAGTTAAAGAATCTGCGGATGTTAAAGAATGCATCATGCATTTCTTCTTTTTAAAAGGTGATTCGCCATCTATTTCAATATTATTTTCTTTGAAATGATTCCAACCATTTGAATAGATGTATCTTTTCAAAGTATTTCTCATAGTATCGTCCAATGTTTTCTCTATTACAGGATTTTTAAAAATAGGTTTTTTAGTTCGACTTTCTCCGGACTTATTATTGTTTAAAATCGAAATACATCCTCCGTCGTTCTTCTTTTTATTATAATTTTTACGAATACAATTATTTTTCTTTCTATCAGAGAGATCATTTTTGTCTACTGTCTTTATTATTTCGTTTAATACGTATATCAAACGTTTGTTATCCGCAATCTTCTTTTGGATCTTTCTTCTTTGCGCACCTGACAATTTACTCTTCAATTTATTTTCCGAAATATTTTTTCGAAATATTCCTACAGTCCTTTGGCATTGATTATTTTTTACTGAAATTGGATTTTGACGACTTTTCGTTTTCATTGAATGTGAATCAGATTTGCCAGATGTCTTAGATAATTTTAAAACGAACGAATTAACAGAAGATTTCTTATCATTCGTTAAGATTTTTCTTTGAAAAGATTTCATTTGTGTTCTTCCTAATTCATGTTGAGTCTCGTTAAATTCAACAAATCCAACTTTCTTCTTGTGTTCCAATAGGATGCTATTTTTTCCTTTGAGTGGTATTTTATCGATCGATTTTCGTTTCAAAAATGATCCAAGAGATTTGCTATTTTCTTGTCTTGTATAAAATCGATATAAATTTTGATCAGTTTCTTGTAACTTATACAAACTCGTATTATTTTTTAAATCGCATTTCGTAAAATTTCGTGGTAAAGATTGTAACCATTTTAAAACATTCACAACACTTTCTGATTCGCTTTCATTGTCTGTCCTATCGTTAGAATCATCAGACAGTGTTTGATTACCGTTACTACATTTTCTTTTATCCTTAAAATATACAAATATTAATGTGATATATCCATTAATTCTAATTATCTCAATTGTTTCGTCAATTTTTAATTAAATATAGAATTAACGATAAATAATTACCGACCGATGTTTTGGATGTACGACGTCGAAAATAAGTACATTGAAAATTATCTTTCCTTTCATTAGGAAAGATTAATTTATCCATATCATTTTCGATCATCCTTATCGTTTCAATATTTTTATTTAGAAAATTTTGATTTACAATTAAATCGGATTGTGCCATTTTATGAAAGAATATTATCAAAAGAAAACTTTTATCATTAACATTGAACCCAATAGAACATATTGCAAACGTGAATATGAATTTATAAATAAAACATCGTTTGGTTGTGTAACAGAACGAACGGAAATAATGTTTAGGTTGTTCACTATCTTTTGTTCAAAGCGTGTATGACTTCAGCGATGAGTATGGGCAAAATATGAACTACAAATGCAAAAAGGGAACACTATCCCCACCATGCATCTATCGTATCGATATGCTTGTGTTAGTAATTCCCCTTTCACGCATAAATAACAATTGATTACGTGTGAATTAGAGTAAGTATAATAGTTTTAATGCATTGTGAATTCATACTTTTCAGTTTCTCATACATAAATGTATATATATATATATATATATATATATATATATATATATCTTTCTTTGATGGTAGATCATTTGGTTTACGATAAAAGCATAAAGAATAATAAATAAAATAAAATATAACATTTATATACTTACCGGAAATGATCGTATTTTTTTTTATTTTTCTAAATATACGTACTCTTTACTTCGATAATGTTTAAGGGAAACGAATAAGGATTAAAAATTTTTCATTTTCGATAAAAATAATTCAATATTAATTATTACGCAATATATGAAGTTATGAATATTTAAAAATGACATTTATAGGAACACTGGAACATTCATGATATATGTAGATTACGAAAACGACAATTAAATGTCTTTAGTAAATAAATCTCGCAATATTATTGATTTAAAATCAATCGCGTTTAAAAATTATTTAAAATTATATATTAAAAATTATATAGAATATAAAATCTTTCGATCAGATGAAATGCGGTATAGTTCTTTTCTACTTTTCAATTAGATAAATAAATTTTATTATATATGTACTATCAATTTTTCTTGATTTCTTTCGACAATTGATCAATATAGTTAGATTTTAAAACCATAATAATATACAACCAGAGTCAACGTTATCATTGTACATTGATTACAGATAAAATTTTAAATTAGATCAACAATGTAGATATATAATATTTATTATATGTAACGGCAAATAATTGTTTCTTCTTTATTTATTTAATTATTAAATTATTTATTTACTTATTTATTTATTTATTTATTTATTTATTTATTTATTTATTTATTTATTTATTTATCTATTTTGTTAAGCTAAGACCAAAAGCATACATATTCGGGACGTCCGTCAGAACTTTGTTTCTTTTTTCATTCGTCTTTTTCGAATATGCTCGACTTTTATTTTTTGTCGTGGACGTATGAGCGACCTTGTTATGTGGTGTAAGTAAAGATGGTAAAGGCGGTATGGTTGGTATATTAGCTGTAATATTTCCAGTTCTCTTATATTTCTTCATAGCATCTCGTACAGCTGTATGAATGATCTAATAAAAAAAAAAAGGGGGAAAAAAAAGAAATAAAACGAAACAATTAATTAACTAGCATCACGTATGTACATTTTCATTTTCAATAGAAATGTACATACCTTTTCTTCGTTCTTCTTAAATGATTTGTTTACTTTCGGTACAACGTAAGACGATTGTTGTTGCAAAGCCATAATCTTTGATAGTAATGTTTGCCTCGTAGAAGATACTTCGTGTTTAATGTTCATCGTGATAGGAGTGGCACGTACTTTTCTTATAATTTTTGGATTTGAAGATTTTTCCTTATACGTTACCTTCGACTGATTTTGTTATATATATATAAAAATGTATATAATATAAATAAATAAATATATATATATATATATATATATATATATATATATGTGAAGAAAGATGAAAATGAAACGATAGATTTATTAAATTTACCAACCTGATCCAAATGAGAATGTTTTGTAGACGCACGAGTACGAACTGTTCCAGCAGATGTGCTTTTTGTCATTCTGTCAGGTTTCTCAAATGGCATAGATGATTTTGAAGTTCTTGGGAATACTGGTGCCGTTGCTGGTAATGCTTGTCTGTGATTAGGCGATTCCGTTTTATAATAAGAATAAAATTCTTGATCCAATTGAATTTCTAATTCTTCGATAAGATCAACGATAACAGGTCCTATCTGACTATGTACCAGAGATTTTTTCTTAGCCAGGGGCACCTGATTAAATTAAATAATAGACCTTGACAAATTTGTAAATTGTATTTTATAATTATTATATTAATAATGTCCTTTACCACAGGGGTTTTGGACGTAAGACTCGTCTTCGATTCATGCAGATTCCAATTAGATTTTTTTTCACTTGTGAGAATACGAGTACCTTGAAGAGATAATGCAGCTCCTAAATAGGGCTGACAACTTGGCATTCGTTGTTTGTATGCTAACTCGAATAATCCTGTATCAGCGTTCTTATTTTCTCGATAATCTACTACCACTGTCGATGTGAAGAAAAGAAAAAAAAAAAAAAAAAGAAAAAAGAAAAAAAGAAGAAAAAAAAAGAATTTGTAAATACATTATAATGTAAACATTGTGTCTATCGTTACCTTTGATAGTATCTTCCATGACTTGCCTACATAAACGTGTAGTCACGCTACTAGAATAGCTCATATCAGGATGACTGTTAATCTCTATAAGCCATACCGAAAAATCATCCATAACCATAAAGTCAGCTCCGTATAATTCAAAACTATTTTTTCGACGATCCATCGCTTCTTGGCTAGCCAAAAGGGATCCCACCAGTCCTTGCTTCATGCCAGGGTAAATTTGCTCGTCCCAAGCTTCCCCGTGACCTTGAGATCTTAAACAAAATTTCGTTTGATTTCAAAAAACATTAGGATTAATAAAGATCGTTTGAATCATACCTGAGATATTCTTTGAAAGTCGTAGCATCCCACATATTATCCGCCGGAAGTGCTGGATCTCTATCAATGCAATTTTTATACTTGCATTGAACCGCATGATTGCAGAGATGAATCGATTCGTGAAAATCCGTAAGAGAGAATTTTTGCGAACAAAATCGTAGATAGCTTTCCCTAAGTGAAAAGAAATGTTCTTTTCATATTTCTATTGTGAAATATCGAGAACGTGTTTGGTAACCCTTCTTATAATATTTCGAACCTGTTGCATTTCAGTCGTTTCTATGTTATCATTGAATATCAAATACCTAATATTCCCTTACCTTCCTTAAATTTATTTCATCTCGAATATAAAACCTGTTGAATCTCTCTCTCCCCCCCCCTCTCTCTCTCTCTCTTTCTTTCTCTATAGATCTATATTTAAGCTACATTCACTCTAATCTCTCAAGAATATATCACGAAGAATTAATGAAGATTAGAATAGTTCAACTTTTTATTCTATCGACAATTATTCATTTAATTTAGTTCGTAAGATAATTTACGAAAGTACTTTTACGAACTAGGCTAAGAGAGACCAATTTTATGGTATTCAAGTAATTAGCAATTTCTTGCGGATAAATCAAGCCTACATGTAATGACACTTTGATTTCTAAGTACAGAAGTACAAAGAAGTGAAATTTTTCCTTGGACTATAAACTGTTCGAAATATAGACAAATTAACGATAATTATTAAGAAAACGTACTGCTAATGATGCATTTCGACGTAAAGGATGAGCACGAATATGCGGCACGAAAGTTTACTGTTATAATAAAAAAAAAAGTGTCTAAGTAGCGAATGTATGATTTAATAATTGACCTAATTTTTTCGTTTTTCTAGCTCACTTTAAATATTGACTCTCTCTCTCTCTCTCTCCCTCTCTCTCTCTTTCTTTGTGTTTGTGCCTGTATATTGGTATAAAACTTACTTAAACATCCATACAGTTAAGGGTTGTGCACACGTCACGATGAACCACTGTCTTATATCGAATTTTGTGCTATAGATGAGAAGTGGTCGTTCTAAATACAATAAACGAAAAATCAATTTCCATATATTGAACGTCTAAAGTTAATAAAAATGATTATTATTACCAATATATTTTTGAACGACATAACGAGCATCCGCTTTGTTCGATGGATTAACTTTTGCAATAACATGATCGAGTTTGTTCATTAATACAATCCCACGACCACGACTTTTATTTCCTGGTTTTAATATCCAAACGTTCATAATACCATCCATATCGATCTGTGGCCAATACTTTTTAATCCTTTTTAATAAGTGTCGTGCTGCCAGGAAGTATTTCTATTTTACATTAACAAACATGTTTATTCGTATGGACGATGTCGAAATTAATTTGAAAAATTTATGATGAATGATGACAATAAAACTGTCAACTTACATGAAAAGGTACATTGTTGCGAATGAATACAGCATCGTCTGAAACAATTTTGTAATACCATCCAATAAACTGGTCCCATTGATGAGACCAAACCTTTTCAGTTTCTCGATCGATGTCCTCGTGCGATTGTGCACTGATATAATCGCTGCATCTTTTGATAGCAAAGTCAAGAGCTTTCAAAGGTATCGTACCTGTTGGTGATCGCGTTGCGTTCTCACCTTCGGTATCGATTTTGTCTACCAGCCACTTCAAGAGACTCAGGCAAGTGGTGAATCTGATCGGAAGCAAGGTATACTCTTGCTCACGTTTTATCTAAGCTTTGTGTATGTAATAATCTTCTTAATATTAATATATAAGTTGTTGCATTTTTTTTTTTGTATCATTGAAAATTACAATAGGATATTTCTTTTTTAGAACAAATTTCTCTCTCGTTCTCTTTTTTTTTTTTTTGTTTTTTTTTTTTAAATATTATGAGACCAACAAGACAAAACAAATTCTATAGTAATGAATGAAACATGATTTGATGCGTAATATCTTACATTGAAAATTATAATAGGATAATTTTCTATAGGACCAAGTCTTTTTTTTTTTCTTTTTTTTTTTTTTTTTTTGACGAGATAATTATTGTAAGACCAAGGTAATATAAATTTCGACAGTAAGGAATGGTGAAACGATACCTAATTGACTCTTACCGAAAGTCTTCGATAAATGCGTGCATCTGATCACCCTGACATATATTATAGCAACGTGGAAATAGAGTGTTAGCTACTCCAGCTTCGTAATACCAATGCATCTGTCTGACGTTTGAACATAGACCAATCTAAGGGTATTATATTAGTGTAAAAATAATATCTAAATTGATTTCAAATCTTCATATTAATTTAATTAGATTCTAGTGTCATTTGATAATCAATAATATTTAAGAAAATTCTTAGTCACCTTAGAAGTAAAACCAGCGCGATAGAACCTATTGAATACCGTCGTTTTATTTTCTTGCGAAGGCCAACCAGGCCATTCCGATCCTGTATTCCATAGAAAATCGACGGTATGATTACTCAGCATTCTTGAAATTAATTGTCGTTCACTTTGTTGATCTTTCAAGTCACCAATACCCCTCAATAATACTATTGGATTAGACTCAACATGTAGATACTGTTCGACTGAAAAAAGAAAAAAAGAAACGTGAAAGAGATTAGGAAAATGTTTATTAAAAAATTGATTAACAATGACGGATTACCATTAGAATTTCTTCTAAAGAATTTTTCGCACCATCCTTTCTTAAGCAAAGTTTCACGAATCACTCTTGCTCTTCCATATATCATAAACGTATGATGAGCATTTATTGCATCTTTCACTTTTTGTTTGACACATAAAAATCTTTCTTGCAGTGTCGGTGATAATTCTGTTGATAGATCAGAGTCCAAAACCTCGCAAGGAGAATCTATTGAGGTAAAATAAAAGTATAATGTGTATATTATTTTCTTTTCTTTCTTTTTTTTTCTTTTTTTTTTCGTTGATTTGTATAAATTACCTAATTGATAAGTTTAATTTATAAAGGATATTAAAACAAGAAGTTCAACATGATATTCTTATTTCAATATTTATAAAGAAAAAAAAAAAGAAAAGAGAATATACAAAAAAGAATTGAAAGCAACTAGTAACTATTTTACTCGCTTTGACTAAAATATTTTTTTTACATATAATTTAACAACGATCATGTTATCTTTAATTTATGAACTCTTTTTTCTTAACATCCTTCTTAATAAATAAATAAATAAATAATATATATATATATATATATATATATATATATATGTAAAAAAAAAGAAAAAACCTTCTGTAAGCTTTTCTTCATTTTTTTTATCGTCGTGATGAATCTCTAGCTGGTCGTCACATTTTACAACAGTATTATCGATGTTTTCTGTATTTTTATTTTCCCCTTTTTCCTCACCGAATTTCCAGAAACTCGGCGGTGCATCGTTGATGGCATTCATGTAGCGCACCTGTTAACCGGCGAAGTATTTCTGCTCGGTTGCGTTTAGTTGATTTTCAAGAGTTTCGCTTCATCCCTACGAAGAACCATCTCAACAAGATCGTCGTTACTACTGTCTGGAACACCTTGGAAAATTTCACGCGCGATTATAATTATTTTGAAATTAATATTTATATGAAAATGTGCCTTCGCAGGACATTTAATTCCGTTCGTCAATGATACCTGTTGAACGTATTAAAAGATATCAACATATTTTCGAACACAAATGGCATTATTATAGAAATCCTATTAAAAATCGAAAAATAAAAATATTTCTATTTGTCATTCCACTTTCACGAGAAAAAGAAACGAAGACATTAATAAAGTCCGACCTGGTCGGCAACCAGGTCAGGACTAAACTTTCTTCATCGAGGAATACACAAGGTATATGTCAGTGGTTGCAATTCGGAATTCCGCAGGCGCGTGACTCAGGGACGTTTTAAAGCTCAGGGACGTCTGATTGAGATAAGTAGAAGCGTATTTCCTTTTTTGTTTCGATAGAATCGCAACGTTAATTTTTACATTGTTATTTTTTTTTTTTTCATCTAATTTAAATTCCTCCAATAAATGCTGTTACGATTATTAATGGAAGAATTATTTTGTTTATTATAATTTCAATTATATATGAAAAGGATAAATGAAAAGGAAAGATAAAACGAGGAGTAAGAGAGGATATTGTTAAGTGGTTTGAAATTATTTTAGGAAATATATTAAAAGAGGAAACGGCCCTGCGTGCGAGAGGCTTGTCTAGGTGGTGGTGGTTGATTACGAGCAGCGTACCAGGCACCTCCTACGGTGCCTTCTTTCGGTTTCAGCCTTCTGGCCTCGCACATAGTGCTACCGAATATAGGTAAAGAAGTCAAAGCAATCGCGTGGTTAATCAGATCACTCCCGTAAAGTAAACGTTTCGTGTTCTTTGACCCACTTGTACGAATACATCTTTGATCCACTCAGGAAAACTATCAGATATTCGAGTAGAATCCGAAAAATATATGTTCATTATTTTTGATCGAACGGCTTTGATTTTATATCGATAAATTAGATAAAAATTTAACTAGTGAAATAACGTTTATACATTATCTCTCGATGACTATCATAACGAGATCGATTCGCTTTCTTATCTTTATCGAGTTCGATCAAATAGCACGAATCTGTAACTTCACACGAACTTCGAAAAAAGAAAGAGAGACAAGAAGTTAAGCATATCGATCGATTTAGCAATGTCACTTAATATCAAATTTGTATAACGTATAAAATGATCGTCCAGTCTTGTTATCGAGTAAAAAGAATGATCTATTTTGTAACCAATTAATATTTATACGTCATATTGCTATCGGATTTAATCTGTTCAAATTTACTTACCATTAGATATAAGGGATCTGACCAATTATCACTAAAGTTCGTCAGAGTTATTATTTTATTTGTTAGAAAAAACCTGCTGTTGAGATAAAGTCTGGCATATAGGAAAAGAGAAGATATTTTTTAAGATACTAGAATGTTTGACAAGATACAATATTGGTTATCTAAAGGATTAATGACAAATGATAAACATGACACTGTCGTTGTCTGATCTTATTTGAACAAAGTACGCTCAAAATAGATAGAAGCGTGGTTTCATCGATTATCGAGAAATGCGGTAGATTTGAAATCTCGCGGTTTTAAAATGCGACGAAGTGCGCATGCTCGGTTCGATCGGTAAAGAAGTTAGCGAGTTGGTAAAAGATAATGTACTATCGAAGTACAGTTTAGTGAATGAGAGTTCAATAGATGAAACGTTAATTTTTCAACGTTGGAGAGGAATGATTCTTCTACTACTGCGAATCAAAATCGTTTACGAGTCTACTTTCTATTTATCATTATCGAACATCTAATTTATATCGTTCGAGTATCAACAATCGTATTAATTTTTAACGTTTCAATACAAATTTTAAATAACAATACATTGAATTAAGAAAAATCTAATTAATTCTATGTTATTATACAATAGATGTGAATTAGTGTGAATAATAAGATTGAATTTTGTTAAACTTATATTATAATAATATATATTTGTGAGAACATGGCAACCTTTATCAAAAATATATCTTTATACTTTTTTACAAAACAATGTATAAAAATATATTTCGACGATCAGAATTTTTTACATGGTAAGATAAAATATTTGATTATAAAATCCATTATTATTTACAAATCTTAAAGTTACTAAGTAATCTAAAATAGTTTAATACATGTCCACATGTTTAAAATAGCTTAATACATACTTATACACATATGCAACAGTCACGTGGATGAATATACATGATGTTCGAAAAAAAATTTCAAATTGGCAAGAAATTAATCGAGCAATTTTATAATAATGATGTAAAATTCTTACAAAAAAAGAAAAGAAAAAAAAAAGAGAACAATGTTTCTTTCAAATTTTCATAACATGTATAGTAAATCGCAGATATCTTTGAAAAAAACATAGAGTTTTTTTTAAATTTATCTTTGACAACATACAAATGTAACATTCTTATGTTTATGCGTATATAACAACGAATACAAATCAAAATAAAGTCTACGATTTTCGATTTTTTTTCGACACTAAATTTGAAATTGGTCTTGATGACTTGTTAATGATAATATAAATAAATTGTTTTTAAATTAAATATGGATTATATATGCAGTATATATACACCTGTAAAAGTAAATCATGAAAATATTGAAAATGTTTCAGTTGAATGTTTCAAAGAAACACTGAGTAAGATTTTAGGACTTGGCATCATCGCTGGATCCTTATTGGGTTAGAAAATTATTTTTTTAACTTAACAATATTTGATTGTATCCAGTTGAAACAATAATAGAATTGTCTTATGCTTTACTTATAGGAAATATTTATTTTATATTATTAAAACAATATATTATTTATTTTAGTGAAAGTTCCACAAATTATCAAAATTTTAAAAAATAAAGATAGCAAAGGTATTAATATCTTTAGCGTATTATTAGATTTATTTGCTATCACTGCTATGACATCCTACAGTTATGCGAACGGTTTTCCATTTAGGTAAGGAGAAATTTTATGTTTCCAATGATTATTAGATAATTTATGAATATATTAAATAAATGAATGAATGAATGAATGAATATATTAAATATAATTATATTTATAGCTCATGGGGAGACGGAGTATCGTTAGGTATACAGACATTAATAATTGCAATATTGGTTTTTCACTTTAACGGGGATACTGCAAAAGCAACGGCCTTTCTAGCAGGTTATATATCTATACTTACCACTGTTATAAGTGGTTTAGCACCAATTAATTTACTTTGGACCTGTCAAGCAATGAATATACCTATCGTTCTTATTAGCAAGGTAATTATATTAAAATAACGATATAATATCTTTTGTATATTAAACATTATTACCTTTGTTTTAGTTCATACAAGCTTATACAAATTATTCCAATGGAAGTACCGGTCAGTTATCTGCAATAACAGGCTTTATGCTTTTCTTTGGTTCATTAGCAAGAATATTTACTTCTATTCAAGAAACTGGGGATACAACTATAATAGTTATGTACTCGTGTTCAACTTTTGCAAATGCCATCATAGCTGCACAAATTCTTTATTATTGGAATGTTGAAATTGTAGATTCTAAGAAAAAAGATAAAACTAAGAAAAAGGAATAAAAAAAGTTATCAGTAATATATGATGTAAGATCAAATGGTGACAGAAGAATGTTGTATATTATATATATATATTTATACAAATGGTTTTGGTACTTGATTAATACAAGTTGGTTTCTTTTTATTTATACCATCATTCAAATTACAAAGTATTAAAATATTTTATACATCTATTACATATCTTACATTATATAAATTTGATGAAATATTTATTTTTATTATTATTAATAACATAACATTTATATTTATTGTTAATAATAATATTGAGTTACTACACACATTTTGTGAATTTTAATATTGTTTTTAAATAAATATATATATATATATATATATGTGTGTGTGTGTGTGTGTGTGTGTGTATATATATATATACATATATATATATACATATAATATATATATGAACTAAGTAAAATCAAAAATAAATAGGAAAAAAATAGGATAAAATGAAAAATAAAATAAAAATAATTTTAATTAATTTTCATAACATACATTTTTTGTTTTTAAATGAACCGCTTATTATTCCTTATCGCTATATCTGGAGCATTACTTGGCAAATAATCGATAAAAAAACACGCCATCAATGGCTAGTACGTCTTTCACTATTGGTCCCCTTTAACCGGAAATAAAGAATGCTTGGCGCTTAATCGGTGAATCCATATTACAGATTAGTCTATTATTTGTAGAAGGTAAAATTTTAAATACGTAATATCAATTATTGAAATCGAAAGTTTTAATGATTAAGGAAAAATTTAGAATTCGTAATATATATCCTATATTAACACATTTGATTATTTAAACTCATTCGAATAATAAATATTTTTCTTGATTTAACCTGTAAATATGAATGTCCGTATATAGCAACCAATCAGCGTCGAGAATGGTCGCTTAATTCATTCCTTATTGGTCGTCTTGTTAAGACACTTATACGCATGCGCCAACATATGCTCGGGAGTTTCTTTCTTCCGGCTCCCTCCTGCCGATGAGTCGTACAACGTTTGCTAGATCGTGTGAACGCAGTTGTTTCGTCAGCGACGATGCAGCTTAGTGGACCGTGATATTTTCAGAAATTTCATAGTCAGATCGTCGGAACGTAATTCTCGAGCAACGGTGAGTAATATTTCAGCTTTTTTTTGGACGAAAAATGGGTCTATCGTCCCATGAGACGAAAAATAACGGGCGTGGACAATCGTCGGGAAAAGATGGCCTGTTGGAGCGTCATGGCGTCATCGCCCTTTGCAGTCCGGCTTCCCCCGACGACCATCTTGTTATCGATAAATCAATATAACGCGCCTTTATCCTATGTAAGCGTCTTGTATACTAGTACTAAAAAGTACATCACAAATGTTAGACGCATTTAAACATTGTTAAAATCGCCGTCTAAAAGGAAAAAAAAAAAGATCATCTACACACAGGTAAATCGACCTTCGGCACCCGGTTTCTTGAACATTTGCTTTGTCTGACGAGTAATGATACGCAGAATAGCGTTAAATTTGGAGACCTTGGTTTTACGATAATCAGTATTACACGAGCATCAATATTTTAATAAGAAAGAATGCTAAGTGGAATCAAATGTATTATGATTTATGGATATTCAGTCGGTGGAAACCGAGATTTACATGCACGTGTCCTTGGCTTCTGGACTGTGCCTTGAGAGGTGGTTTTCTTGCATAATGCCTACATACTTTTGGATCTCGTAGCAGCAATCGATTAAAGGCAGATGCATGTTGAAATTTATTAAGATATACCACATTGGTCCTTGTATTATTATAAATAAAAAAGGAAGAACCATGCGAACCTACGGATTTTCACAGTCTTACAGGTTAGGTTGCTCTATTTCCTGAGTCAAAATGGAATCAATGGACGCGCGCCTTGTTGCGCAGGCATTAAACTACCATGGTCAGCAGTTGCAGAAAGTGTGGGAAGGAGAACGCAACGAGAATGAGTTGGCTATGCTCAATCTCAAGGAACCCAATTTTGAAATTTATCAACAGAGACAGAAAACACTTAGGTGTGTAATTAAATTTATTTCAGAGATTTTTGTCATAATTTTCTTTATCATACAACTCATGTCTATGATTGCATAATAACGTAAAATACAATGTATTTACGTTTTTATTATAGCTTCGGAGATAGAGGAAAAAGACTGAAGCTTCAGCAATTCCTCGCTAAGAAAGCAGATGCTCTTTATGATAAAGCAAATCTTGAGAAGACTATAGAGCCTATTAAGCAAGAATTAGGAGATGAAGGTAAAATATTCTTTTATGTTTTCACTTATCTTATCTCCATTATGTTATTATATTTTCTCATTCTAAGAAACTGTTGTATTATTTATTTTCAGAGTTTTATGCAACAATGCCAGGACTCGATACTTTTGTCACTATGGAAAAGTCTCAACGTATCAGAAACTTCTTGGAAGTAAGTATATTTCTTAAACGATTATATTTACTTGATAGCTATATCTAATGAAATTATATTTGGTTTTCTAATGTCAACAAATTAAAAATTTACAGAGTTTAGTTGTCGGAGATGTAATTTATGCACAAGTGATGAGTAAAAGTGCTCCTGGTCTTCTTCTGAAGGTTCTTTGCAACTGCTCTGATTGTCCTAGAGTTGTTACTGAGTTAGGAGTAAAGGTATATATTATTAATATACACATATATTTCAGATATTATTTTACAATTAAATTATTGTATCTCAAATGTTGCTTATATAAGTTATAAATATAATTACATAAAAGATGACAAGCATTTTTGTAAAAAATATCTTGGTACGAAGATGTAAAGATACATATAATATAATTTCTAGAATTAATGCATAATATCTGTTAGATAAAATATTAATATTAATTTTATGAACGAGTGTTATTAAATGATTTTGTTTTTGTGTTATGCAATTAGGTTCTAATATTGAATACGGCCACTGTGCCGGCGGTGGACAAGAAAGGTGTTACAAGAGGCTACATGGCAAATGATCTCGTCTGCGTCGTAGTCAGTGAAGTTAACGTTGAGGCGGAACGAGTCGTTGCAGTAATGAACATGCCTGCCCGCGAGGGCCAAGCCCCACATCCACCTATGGGTCTTATTCATTCTGATGATCTTCCAGAAGCTTATAAGTAAGTTACGAGAAATATAGATAAGTACGGTAGAAAATTTCTTGCATTTACACGCTTCGCTAGTTCTGTTTAATTAACATGTCTACCACTAAAGGAATACACAAGACTTGAATATGTCTTCTTACGTGCATCGCACTTAGCTTTTATATACATACATGTCTCGCACATCTAAAATACTCTACTAGTTCTTTTAGATATTTTTTTTTGGCTTTTTTTTTTTTTTTTTTTTCTTTTTCTTTTTCTTTCTTTCTTTCTTAAATCTGACTTCATATATGATATGATCACATATAAGACCAATTATATTTAAGGAGGCAAAGGTTTTTATCTAATGTGATGATAATGACATTAGCATTCTCATCACTTATGGCTGGTTGCATTTCTTATGAAAATATATTTCTAAATTGTGTGTTAATCAATGAACACAGATTTGCGATTTCCTTTTTTTTTTTTTTTCTTTTTTTTTATTTTGTTCTTTTTTTTCGATTTTCTCCTTCATTTCCTTTTTTTTTCCCTCTTTTTTTAACACATTGTAAAAAGAAAAGGTAAGAATAACAGTGTGTTGGGCAAACAAAATTGAAATTTAACAGACGCACTGTGATACTAACAAGTCAAGGTAAATGAGATTTGATTCCTCTTACACATTTTTATGAATTTAGGTGCCAGACACTCTGTAACATAAAAAGTTGATAGTCAGTATGATGATGAATTTATAATGCGATACAAATGATTCAAACCTTGAGCATTGGTTGACATGGCTCTATTGTGCACATATTGTATCTACGTTTGTGATATGTTACTCTCAAAGCACCAGCCAAACTATGGCGCCAAATGAGATCAATGTCTTTTGAGGTTGAATTTCCAGTTTGAGACGTTGAGCCTTGAATGGTCAGAGTGGGTGCTGCAGACGGTAGGTATAATAATGATTTACTGTTGTTTGGTCTCTTATCAGATCATATAATGTAATCTAAATTATAACCTTCTTTGGTACAGGATATGGGCATTTTTAATATGTTAGTAGAAAGTAAACAAAAAAAAAAAATAGAAGGAAACCTTGTTGTACGACCTTATAATATCTAATGTTATATATTATTATTATACACTCAGTCTTTTAGTAATAACATTATTAATTTCGAATAGAAGACATATGTGGTTTAGCTGAAATTAAAAGCAGAGACCAAACAACCCAAATCTTAAACACCCCATCCTATACCTTTAAGCCTCAAAAGAATCGCGCCTTGTCATAATAATGCCTCATTTAAACTTACAGCTTATATTGACAAATAAAAAAAAAAAAAAAATGATGTCATATTCAAATTGACTCAACAAAATGCAAAACAGGCGACCGTACTACTACTACTTCTACTACTACTACTACTACTACTACTACTACTACTACATCTAAAAAAAATTTTTTTGGTCAACTTGGAAGATAATATATACTCAGGCGTGGCTCCCGACCTATCCTAGGGCTATGCAATTTATTTTATCGCACCAAAAACTTATGTAATCATCGTCGATTGATGATAGGCTGTGTGCTTTTGTGTTGAGAAAATCTCTGAATTACAAACATGATACAAAAATCTAGAAATATTCGTCTTAGCGGTACATGAAAGGTGAGAGACGAGTTTACATAATAATGAGGTTGTGTACCATTTTAAATTTATAATTATGAAACTATCTGGTAATACATATATATATATATATATACAAAGGAATTTTATCGACCTTCTGCACCGCATCCCTGTTTTTGGACCCCTGCTGCTTGTTAACGGTATAAACATAGATCGTGAACGATTCTAATACCAGAAGATGTAAACATCTTGTTTCTTCATTATTTTAAGAAAGAGAGAGCGAGAGAGAGAGAGAGAGAAAGAGAGGGAGAGAGAGAGAGAGAAAGAGAGCAGGGATTATAATTTATAAAACATCTTTGGCATTAGTGTCGTATCTTTGAATAATTCATGCAGATCGAAAAGAAGAATCAGCGTTCCAGAGGAATGGATGGACCATATTATCCTTGCACTATAAATGTTTCAAGAAGACGACCAAAGAAGTATATATATATATATTTTATATTGTATATATATATATGTATATATGCACACGCATATATATATATACACACACACATATATATATAAAAGAAACAAGACGAGATGTCAAAAAATTGAAAATAATCAAATAATTATATCTACGCAGCGTCTGATTAATTTTATTAATTAAGGAGTGTGAAAATTCGGTCATCATGATTATCAAGTCTTTAGTTTTACCGTTAACGAAGTAGCTTTGGTTTCTTCTGTGCCACTGGTCTTTGACAATGATCTTTACAAGTCAATAATGTATTATTTGTTTTTATGTGGTGTAGGAAAGCTGTGGACAACAAAGGTCAGAGTTATGAAACGCTCTTGGAGAATAGTACTGGCTTCAACAACCCAAACAACATAAAATATCTTTGTGACTTGATGGGTCTAGGGCAAGAAAATCATTCTAACATGGTTGGCCTAAGGTACAATATAATTATAATTAATTTTTATATTTTGATATAATAATAAAATAATATCTTTCTATTGATCGTTATTCGTATTAAATATTTTTAGAGAACGTTTTCCTCCCAATGAATATGCATCAGAATTGAGACAGGCACAAGCAAGCAAGTGGGCATTCCGAAGTGTTGCCGAAGGAATAGATCACTTCAAAGCTGGCCGCCATTCTGAAGCCTTTCAGTGTCTTAATAAAGCACTATCAGTTGACCCAAGAAATGTTGAAGGCTTAGTTGCTAGAGGAGCATTGTAAGTTTATTATAATATTATAATAATTAATCATTTATCATTAATATAATTGTGATATAACACTTTTGAATGTTGTCTTTTTGTTCTTTTGTTCTAGATACGCGAACAGCGGTAGTTTCAAGAAAGCGATCGACGATTTTGAAACTGCTTTGAAACTGAATCAAACTCATGCGAATGCTCGTAAATACATGGCCGAAACTCTGGTAGCACTTGGACGCAGTTACGAAGACGAAAAGAAATATGATGAAGCTCAGAAAGCTTATGAAAATTGCTTAGCTATAGCACCATATCATGAAGAGGCACGAAATTCTATCGAATATATCAAGTCAAAGACTCTAACGTCTTCTTGAATCCCCTTGATACGTTTAAAAGTTTCGAAACTGAAAACGACGTTGGCGACAATAAAAAGGAGAAAAAGAAACGTAAGAAGGAAAGAAAATCTCGATCAAAAAAAAGACAAAGATGGAGCTCCAGTTCTAGTTCGTCGTCGAGTGGATCATCGAGTACATCTAGTTCGGATTCGAGCAGTTCCTCGTCTTCTGGGAGTTCGCGATCTGCATCTCGTTCGCCAAGCAGAAAACGGAAACATAAGAAAGATCATCGTGGATCACTTTCGCCTCTTAGCAAGCGAATGGCTCAATACAACAATCCTCCGGCTGCTACAACCGCCGCTCATGATGTAATTGCACCAGTTTCTTATAATGCTAATACTCGAGAAAAGATGGATGATTATGAAATTAAAGTGCGCAAGTTTTTGGAACAAACCAAGGATGATTCAGATTACGAAGATAAGGTAAGCATAATAATGAGCGTATATGTTATGTTAGATGTACAGGCGGTATTTTGTTTTTCTTTTTCTTTTTTAATATAAAAGGAATAAATATATATCTGTAGGGTTAATTCGTTTTATGATATTCATTTCAGGTAAGGAAGTTCTTGGAAGAAACTGCAAGATGGAAGAGAGAAAGGGAAAAGGAAAAGAAGCATTCGGAAAGTGAAAAAATGAAGAAAAAGAAGAAAAAGGAGAAGAAAGGAAAGGATAAGGAGAAGGAGGATAAGAAGAGTAGAAAGAAGAAGAAGAAAGAGGAACGAAAGAAGCGTAAAAATAAGGATAAACTTGAAAGAGATTTGGAGGCATTGAAAAAGTCGTCTTTACCAGATTTGGAACAACTCGAATCGAAACTAAATGCTTATTATGCGAAAGTTGAAAAAGAAACAGCTGTCCTAAAAAGGTTGGACTCCTTAGACAATTTTTTGGTAGTAATGACATTCGAGATATTTTATCTTTTTTTTTTTTTAGATTTCCCCTTATTCAAATTAGTCTAATCAACTGTTATAAGAATGCTAAGTACTTAAATTCATTTATTAAGTTGATTTCAATTGTGGTCTTTTCTGTTGGCATCGACACTCGGAAGTTGTTTTTTATCTAAAGATATCGCATTCTACTTATGTTTTTATATTTACTAGGTATGTAGCACAGTATAATGACATACCTTCCCCTCTTAGCAACGCGGAGAAGCTCGCGGAGAGCTCACGCAGGGAGGAGGAACTACGTAGAGAGAGGGAAAGGGAGAGAGATGAGGCATCAAAAGCGTATCATGAACGAGAACCCAGAATACCTATGACCGCTCAGCAGCGTAAAGGTACGTTTTTCTTTTTTGTTTTTTTTGATTTTTTTTTTGTTTTTTTTTTTTTAATATAATGATAATTAAAATTGTATATGTGCTTCATGAGATGTTTGTTTTTTCTTTTTTCTTTTCTCTTTTTTTTTCTCCTTTTTTTATTTTCTTTTTTTTTTTTTTTTTTCTTTCTTTCTATTTTTATTTTCTTTCGTAGAAATTCAGAGGAAGCCTTTAACGGACATTTTTGAACAAGAGTCACAGTTAATTCATCCTGAACCTAAAGTACCTACTTTAGATACAGCTGCGTTAAATGCTAAATGGAAGGCTGCTCAAGCGGCTAGGTAAGATCTTGCATATCGTACAATTTTGCAAAAAGAACTTCTTTCAAATGGTTCTTCTGGAAATATTAAAAAAAAAAAAAAAATAAAAAAATATGGCAAAAGATGGTTGCGTTCGAATGGAAATGACGAGGAATGAAATTTTGTGTTTACAGTGACGAAGACGATGACAACGAGTTAGAGGAGAAACTGCAGCGAGCAGCGTTAGAAAAGTCATTGAATATTCGTAAACAGATGCAACGAGAATTGGCGGAGAAGAGAGCAGCAGCTGCCCAACCGATGTCTGCCCCTACACCACCGCCACCATTACCTAAGGAACCTCCGATACCGAAACAAGCACCAGTGAAATATCCTACTCCGCAACCGCAGAACAAGTTTCAATCTTACAAGGACCCTACTATATCAGTACCTCAAGGTACACCGAATAAGTTCAGCTCCGGCAGCAATCTCGGTGGTAAATTCCAACCGATCGGTCAATGTCCTGGAAGTGGAGGTGGCCATCCACCGGAACCTCCGCGTCCACCGCCACCAGCAAAGAATCAGAATCAGGCTAAAGGGCCAAGAACGGATTCCGATAGTGAGACTGATCGACAGCACAGACAGACGCCTAAGAAACGCGAATCAAGTGGTAGAGGAGGTGGTACGGTTTCCAAGAGAATGAGCAGAGACAGACCAGGAAAACGTTCTCGTAGTAGATCTCGCAGTGCATCCAGTTCTGGTTCCTCGAGATCTCGATCTCCAAGGCGAACACGTTCGCGTTCTTATTCCAACAGAAGATCCGGCAGTTACGAAAGAAAATACAGCCGTTCGCCGTCCGGTACATATAGTCGATCAAGGTCAAGATCACGATCAAGATCTTATACTAGGAGTCGTAGTCGCAGTAGGTCCGGCGACAGAGGCTATTATCGCAAGAGACAGTTTCGTTTGTACAATAATCGTGGGACTTATTACAAGCCACGCTTTCAAGGCTTTAACAATCCTAATCATCGTGGCGGTGGCAATAACTTCCAAAACAGAAATCGATTCTACAATAATCAACACAACAATCGTTTCGGCAATAGACGTGGCGGTGGATTCAACAATCGCGGCGGTGGACGTGGACGTGGTGGCAACCGTGGTGGTAGATTTTTCCACGGTAAGCAGGGCTTCCGCGATTTCAGGGACAGGCGAGACTTTAGAGATCGTCGGGCAGTATCACGCGATAGATATAGCGATCGCAGTTATTCACCCGATCCAATGAGAAAAGTTGACGAAGCCAAAGAGAAAATCAACAAGATGCTCGAAGGCGGTGACGACGTAATGGATCATCAGCAAGGTGCCGGAGGATCAAGCGTTCCTCCCAATAAGAGACAAGATGGACCTCTGAGCGAGGGCGAAGAACGCGATGATGATGACTACGAGAGGTGGGGAGAGGGAGAGGGGGGCGACGCGGCTAACAAGGTTGGTTAGGTCACTTCTGTGTCTATCTAGGCTTTCGAAAAAGAACAGCCTAACTTCTTCTTGCTGATGACGATAAATGATAACTCTGGATGATGATCATGATGAGATGATAATGATGAAAAATGGTCATGATGATATGGAATAATAAGGATAATGATGATATGATGATATGATATGATGATATGATATGATATGATATGATGATGATGATGATAATAATGGTGATGGTGATGATGATGATGAGCCACACGTGCAAGAGAGTACGACCCAGGAGCCAACTAACTCTCCTTTGTTGCCAGAGCGAGGAAGTTGGAGCTGTCGACGATAACCTGGAAGGCAAGGAGTACTTCATTGAACGCATGAAGCAGCGAAGCAAGAATGTATTAATGCAGAGAGCCCTTGCAGCTAAGATTTGGTAGATATGCGTGCCGTTGCCGACGCTGTTTCTTCTCTTCTCCTTCGTCTGTGATATTCTCTATTTCCTCACGTTGGCTGTGCCTAGTCACCAGCGATCGACCAATTCACGTGAGATAATCTTTTATAATTTTTCGTACCGATAACGTGCGGTACATATACATAAATATTATCAGATAATAAATATCACGGACGTTAATTATTGAAATTATTAACTGGCGGCCATTATGATCGTTAAGAATCCTTTTATCTTAATTACCAACGAACTCTTTCTCGTTCGTCCTTTTTTGCGGATATATCATTAAATGTATAATATCGAGACGATCGTGTATAGTTTATTATTATATATCTACGTTTCATCCGTATTCGTAAATAAAATCGTACGAGACATTCTTTTGCTCGGTTTTGCAAGAGGAAACCCAAAACTACTACTACTACTACTACTACTACTGCTACTACTACTAGTACTAATATTACTATTAACTATTAAACACTACTACTATTATTACTACTACTACTACTACTATGTTATATCTTATATATATGTAGCGAACGTGTGAATGCGCTCGATATATTATATATCTATCGTAATAATAACGGGAAAAAGAATTCATTCGTATCGAACTTTGAAGACTCTCGCTACGGATCGTCGAGGATATAATATATGTATACCATGTTTCTACGGAGTAAGAAATCGGATGATCATTATTTTAACAAACTACATCGCGAATTTTCTTCTTTAACTTCTTCAAACGTAGTTCGTAAGTTGTATGATATGCCGTTTTCTTTTTTCTTTTTTTCTCTCTCTCATTTTTTCTTTTTCTTTTTTCTTCTTCCCTTTTTCTTTTTCTTTTTTCTTTTTCGATCACAATGGAAACGTCAAATTTGGCTCTGGGTTTGATTCTTATCTCGCGAGTGGCTTTTCATATTACATCTATCTATCTATATATATATAAATATATATGTATATATATATATATATATATATTTATATATATATATATATATCATCTTATCAGAAACTCTTTCTTTATTAATTTAAAATGATTTATTAGATTTCGTTTGTACATTTCTTAACAAATGTGAAAACTCGTTACGACAAAAAAAAAAAAAAATAAAAAATAAAAAGAAAAAAAAAACATTTAAGCATAATCAAAAGAAAAATAGAAAGAAAGAAAGAAAAATAAGTCAGTTGATTGATTTATGCAGATCATAAAGTAAACGATTTTATCATTAATTATTCTTGACAATTCAATAACAATTTTAATTGTTTCATGAAAGATCATGTATTATTGGACCCCCTCTCCCCTTACCGTTGCGCGCGGTTTTAGAATTTGCGATACATTCTGCGTTGTTTTGCTCAAATACAAAACAAACTATGCATATTTAGAATGATAGTCATTTTACTCCTTTGATCGCGTGATCTTATTAGAGCGTCCCTTTGCAGATATACGTTTCATTAAGGAAAAAAAATAAAAAAAAAAAATAAAAAAATAAAAAAAAAAGAAAGAAAGAAAAAAAATACAAACCTTGTTACTATTTCCTTCTCTTTAATAAGAGCGCTTATTTTAAGATATATTACAAATAATTTACGTAGTAGGACACATATATGTTACATGTAAACGAGTTGCTGTACAATTCAATCATCCAAAAAAATATATATAATTGTAAAACTACAAAGAGAGAAAGAGAGAGAGAGATCAATGTCATTGATATTTATGTTTATCCACCATATATATATATATATACACACATATATATATATATTATATCTTACACAACAGAGAAGAATTTACGGTATGTGATATTATAAAAATTAATAACTTTTTTTTTTTTTTTTTTTTTATGCGTGTCTTTTACACAATTATAAAGATTATCTTAAAAATATGCATGTGTGTATATATATATATATGTATGTATAGGTTTAAATCAGAGATTTTCAAAATTTAATTAAATATAGAAAATTTGAGAATAATTTAAATGTTTATTAGAAAAGTTTCAAAATCGATTTATTATTTCTGTATAAAATTTTTTTCTCTCAGCTCGTCGTACATCTATATAAAAATTAATTTCAAATCCTTTATATCAGAATTATGATTTTCGACAAATTATTAGATATTTGATCGAGTAATATGATGATTCTCGTGAATAATGATCGTTTTTGTAAAGTACATATTTCGATGCGTAAAAAAAAAAGTTTGGAAAGATCTTAGATTTAAACGATTCTCGTAATATATCGATACTTATCGTTACGCGTTCTTATATGATTTTTAAATTTCGATAAGACCGTTAACGACGTATTTTGTGAAGAAAAACAAAAAAAAAAAGAAAGAAAACGAAAATAAGTGAAGGTATATCTTAAAAAAGATATCTTATTATTTCGATAATCGATAGATAAAAAAAAAAATTATCGATTACGTGTTTATCGATCAAGTAATCTTGCATTATTGGTTATAATCGTTCGTCAGGAAATATCATAAAAATAATATTTCTTTATTGAATCTCTCGGATTCGCACTATTTTTGAAAGTGAACATGCGTATTTCGCGCCTTATGGCGTCGGTGGCTGGCGTTGGTGGGGGAGAGGGGGAAATGGTAGCGCGGAATATGATAACGTTTTCGAGTCGCTTCAGTTTAGCGTCGACCTTCACGTGCGGGAGATGGTCCAAGCATTTTTTTCTTTTTTTATATATATCTAATATTCGGTGATATTTTTAATTTGTATTATTATTATTATTACTCAAGTTTTTCGTATAAACAAGGATCACGTTAGTATCGATAATCGTTCGATTCAATTACGATTTTGCGTTTGACTTGTTGAGGTGTAAAAAAACGACGAGTTAACCTTTTCTTGTGTTTCACGTTATATATATATATATAACAACTAATGCGTTCCAAATTGGTAATGATATACGTTAATAATCTTATGACAATTCATTTCATTTTCGAGATACGAATAAAATTAAATTGAATTAAGATTTTTCATCAAAACTGTGTAATAATCTCGCACTTTGTGCTTTTTTTTTTTTTTTTTTTTTTTTGTAATGATGGCAATGAGTGAAAGAAGATTCAAATTTTCGTTAAAGTTTCTGTTAAATTTCTATATACGAGATAATTCATATAGAATTACTTTTTTTTTTCTTTTGTCCAGTTTGGAACTCTTAGTTCGCAATATCAATTTTTTTTATATAGTGAATATGTGTGAAGTGATTATATGCAAATGTGAAATTACGTATACAACGTGGATACAGGATAATTCCGTTTAAACAACGTTCTTAAACCCGTTAAGGAAGGGAACCGAGAGAAAAAGAAAACAATGTATCTTCAAGGTAAGTCTATTGCGACATATTTTATTCATACTTTTTTTTTACATTTGTATTTGTTATAAAAAAAAAAGGAAATGTAAAAAAAGATAACTATTTTCGTCATATTTTATCGAAAATACAAATCGAAAAATTATCATAGAAAATTTCGAAAAATTTATTCTAACCAAATGTATATGTGTATGTGTATGTATGTATATATATTGGGATTTATATCTATACATTTATATTTTATCAAAAATAGAAATCGAAAAATCTTTTCACATACAATAATTATCGCAAAATCTCGAAAGATATTAAAATCATATGTAAAACTTCGTTTTTAGCAAAATAAATTACTCATAATATATAAACATTTACATACATATAATATTATATATATATATATATATATATATATATATATATTATCGAAAATATAAATCGAGAAATTGGTTTGATAATTATCGCAAAATTTCGTTTATCGAAAGAGATTTAAAAAAAGATGATCATTGCTAAAGATTATTGTGAGAAATGAAAGGTCGCTTTTTTCTTTCTTATTTTTTTTTTTTTTTTTTTTTCTTCTTTTTTACGGATCGTTATCGTCATCGTTATATTACTTTTGGCGCATATCATACGTAACGATTATCCTTCCATTTTTAAACCGTACGAAAAAGTCGATGAATATACCTCGATCGGCCGACGGCGGCGGCGGCGGCGGCACCCTGTCGGCTACTCCTCCTCCTCCTCCTCCATTGTGATTTTAATAAGCCTTATGCAAATTACAAATGAAATTGTCAGTGGCAGCCCCGTGGTCCATTCTTCCACGCTGATGGGGACAATTAGAAGAGCTTTGTCCGTCGACCACGCGTTGTCCGGCTAGTCGCCGACTGGAGAGTCCCAACGAGATAGGACCGCCCGCCAACCCCTAATCTTTCTATCCGGTCCTCAGGATGTATTCACTTCCGATTCGTCGGATTACTACCACTATCATCTACGACAATTCTATCGAAAGAAACAAAAAAAGAGAAAAAAAAAAGATTGTTTTCTTTATAGCCGATATTATTTTTTTCTCTTTTTTTTTTCTTTTTACAAAGCAAATTAATATACCAGTTGACCGAGCTTATAGAACGCATAAGTAAGGCTATAATAAATAGGCTGTGTACAAGGTCCATCGACTGTACGGGTGGATGAGTATTCTATAAAAAAAAATCGATCTTTTATTGACTTTTAGAACGACGATAATCTCACGATCGTGACTATAATCCCTTCAGTAACGGTAAAATTATAACTTTTGTAAAAAGAATTATATATATATATATATATATATATATATATATATATATAATATATAAATGTATAACTTTTTATAAAAAGAAAAAATGCATTTCCGAGAATGTTGCAAAGCGTACTTTCTCGCGAGATAAATAATACCGAATTGGTATTAGCGAGATTATCGAAGTTGTATTAATTGATCGATAATAATGGATGTATCCATTAAGATTCACGGTTATCCCGTTTATAAAGTTAATCCCATCGCGTATGACATTTAATGATTTAGGAATGAATCGAAGATTATATAAGAAAAGAAAGAGTTTATTTTTTTTTCGTTTAGTTGGAATATAATAAAAAAAAAAAAAAAAAAAAAAAAAAAAAACCAACGAAGCAATAAAAATTGATACGTGCAATTTGAAAATAAAATTTTCAGCCGGGATCGAGAAAGAATATTTACACGTGTTAAATTAGAAGGATCATTTTCACGTGTTAAATTATACATATGTATATATATATATATGTAAGTACTTAACGCAGATACCAGTTTATTGAGTTAAAGAGAAGAAAGGAGGACAACAGTTGGACCTGAGGTGTTTGGGGTCGAGGGGAATTAGAAACTGAACGGAATCGAAATTGACGACGTTCGATGTCTCTTCTTCGTGGAGTTAGAGGTAGTAGTGGCAAAGGGATGAGGAAGAGAGAGAGAGAGAGAAAGTAATGGGGGAGGAGGAAGAGGAGGAGGAGAAGGAGGAGATAAGTTTTTACGCTAGGGTTACTAACTTACGGACTCGGCATTGTCGACTTCCCGGTGACGGGA